TCATAGCTGGCCATCAATTTTTAACAACATAACTGCATATTGAATCTAAAATAAGCAATGTGAAGTACTAAGTTGCCCCTAATCAAGTGCATTGCGATCTAATCCTCACTTCAATGTTATAATTTTATTTTTTTATTTTTTTTTGGCCCTTGCAGACCTAATCTGCTTCATCTTTCTGTTGTCTCCAATTTTCCAGCACAAGAACAAGTGCACATGTCCAGTTATAATGCCTAAGACCACATGCTTCAAGTTTTGAGGATCATGCACAAGTCATTTTCAAAAAATAAGTTCAGCCTAAACAAATTGCTGTTAGTTGTTTTGAAACGGCTGCGTACCATCTTCCTTGTTAATGTCCATTGGCTCGTCTTTTATGCCTCAATACCCAAAACCTAACTTCAAGTCCCCACACATCATAAAAATGTAGAACAAATCATGGGGCAAGCCTTGAGTCCTAACAGGAAAGGAAAGAGAATCTAAAAGCAAGCCCTGTTTGACAATTGCTAAATAAGCAGCTTTTTGGCTAAAACAAGCCAAAAGTAAAATATCTACATATATATATATATATGGGCAATATGGTAATTTCCCACCAAAAATAAAAGTTTAAAAAGAGACGGAACAACTTTCTCCATAACAAAAAAGCAACTTTTGTAGCAATTATCAACCACATCAGTTCTTTTAGATTCAAAAAAAGCAAACAAGAAAAAGGGGGCATTTCCCTAAATAAGCCAAAATAATAAGGGAATTCCCAAACTAAGCCTAGTTTTGAAAGAATTTTCAAAATGAGTTAACTCGCGGTTCACAATCGCGAGTTCAACACTTTTCCACCTGAAACCTGTCAAAATTGAAACTCGCTGTTACGAAAAGCGAGTTTAATTAAGAACTCGCTGTTAGAAAACGCGAGTTTGATTAATTTTTTTTTCTTTTGAACTCGCTTTTCACAAGCACGATTTTATCCTGAACTCGTTTTTTGAAAGCACGAGTTTAGCAGAAACGATTTTTGTTCTGAACTCGCTGTTTGTAAGCACAAGTTTATCAAAAAAAAAATTCTAATGAACTCGCTCTTTGTAACCACGAGTTCATCAAAACCCACGTTTTATGGAAAAAAAAATTTCTTCTAACCTCACTCTTTAGAACCACGGTTTTTTGCCAAATTTTTTTATGAACCGCGCTTTTAGTGTAATTTTTTTTTTTAATTTCAATTTTACTGAACTTTAAAGAAAAAATTTTCGTTCTTTTGTTTATGTTGTCATTGTTTTGGTGATAATATATTTCAGAATAATTTTTTTGGTTAAAATTCTTTTACTAAAACCGTTCTCATATTAATTTTTTTTTCTTTCCTTTTGTCTTTAACCACGAGTTCATCAAAACCCACGTTTTATGAAAAAAAAAATTTCTTCTAACCTCACTCTTTAGAACCAAGGTTTTTTGCCAAATTTTTTTATGAACCGTGCTTTTAGCGTAATTTTTTTTTTTAATTTCAATTTTACTGAACTTTAAAGAAAAAATTTTCATTCTTTTGTTTATGTTGTCATTGTTTTGGTGATAATATATTTCAGAATAATTTTTTGGTTAAAATTCTTTTACTAAAACCGTCCTCATATTAATTTTTTTTTCTCTCATTTTGTCTTTATTTTGGATTAGAATGTGTAATTCAGCATTTTTTTATTTTGTTTGACTAAAGTAAATTTAATT